ATTCTCAGGGGCAGGAGAGGATACTTTTCTAGTCTTTTATTTTATTTTATTTTTGATTTTTCTCCGGTACCGGGAATCGAACTCACGACCTTGTGCTTGCCAGGCAGGCGCTGTGCCGCTGAGCTAAATCCCCAGCCCCTAGTCTTCTAAGTTTAGAACATAACTCCTGTGTCCTTTCCAACGTGCTGATGAAGGAGAGTGTATCCTGTCTCCGGGGTCCTCAGAGACACTCCCTACCAGGGGGCCACGTACGAAGCACAGCTATTGTGGTCCTGGATCTATCTCTGTCTCTCTGTCTCTCTGCCTCAATGTCTGTCTCACTCTGGCTGGACTGTGCGGAAGGGTGGGGAGGTGGATCTGGAGTGCCGGAGGTGTGTTAGTTCCTCTTGCCAGGGGGCTCCCCAGGCTCCGGAAGCGGCTGACAAAAGTTGCTTCTCTGGTCCTAGCTTGGGTGAGGGGAGGAACCGGCCGCGCCAAGCCGACTGCCTGCAGGAGAACGAAGCGGCGCCACCTGCTGGCCAGAGCGGGCACAGCTGCGGCGAAGACGGCAAAGGCCTTCGGAGCCCGCCGGCCTTCCCGCCTGACATTGAGTTATTCCGGGTTGCACGGTGATTCGGGCAGCTGAGGCCCTGGCTGGCCTGGAAATGGCTGCAGAGGCTTGGCAGAGACCAGTTTATCCCACTCAGAGGCCCCCAAGTCAAGATGAAGATTCAGGAGGGCTACTTTAGCCTGGGCTTGTGATTCAGGGAAGCAGAACAGGGATGGTAGTAGAATATAGCGGCGCTTTTTAAGCCATCACGAGGCAGAGCGAGGCAGCTTGCAAGCTGTGCAGGGAGGAACAGCACCCCAGTCAGGCTGTGTGACACTAGGCACCTGCTGCCATGCCTGGATACAGACGCTGCTGTGGCCGGTGTCACCTGCTGCTGGACGCTACTCCTGCAGCTGCTGCCACAGCTGTGTGGGGACATGAGGTGGAGCGGCCATAGCCTCTTGCAGAATGGATTCTCTGCTCCCTAGTTCTTTGTCTCCCGGGCTTCCCACACATCTGTAGCTGCAAAGGCGGCTGGAGGCCGATACCTGACACCTGCAGCTACTAATGTGGATGGAGATTCTAGGAGGAAGATGAGCTGGGCGAGGTGGTGCACACCTGTCATCCCAGCACTCAGGAGGCTGAGACAGGAGTTTCACCCTGAGTTCGAGGCCAGCCTGGGCTGCCTAATGAGTTTAAGCCAGCCTGCACTACATAGCAAGACACCATCTCAAAACAAAACACAAAAAAGCAAGGAAAGCCTCGGAGAAGACAGATACACACACCATGGTGCGTCCTGAGGCCGGCAATCTCATAGCAAAGGGAGCCAGAATCATTTTATGTGAGGACCCAGGGGTGTGGCAGCTTGAAAAAGAACCTGTGTAGGGTACAGGGCCATATGTCAAAAGGCTCTTCAGAGGAAAACCATTGGATTTAGTTTACCTCTGAGCGATAGAGCTAAGATTACTGAGGAGGGGTACTAGGGGATTAAAATCTTTGCTCAGTATAAGGAATAGTTTCAAATTTTTTTTCTCTTTTGGGTACATGATATTCCACCAGAAGGATACACTGTAATTTATCTAAACATTTCTCTGGTGTTTTATCTCCTTTTTTTTTTTTTGTCTTTTTGAGACAGGGTCTCCCATATGCAGTTCAGGCTGACCTTGAACTCACTTTCTAGCCCAGGCTGGCCTCGAACTTGCAACGATCCTCCTGCCTCAGCCTCCTGAATGCTGGGATTACAGGCGTGTGCCACCACGCCTGGCTTCTATCTCCATTTTTGTTGTTGTTTTAGATATCACAGAGCTGGGGGAGATGGCATGGGCCTGTATCCCAGGAACTCAGAAAGCTGAGGCAGGAGGATCACTTGAACCCAAGAGTCCCAGGGCACCCTGCAAAACATAGCAAGACTTCATCTCAAAAAATAACAAGTAAAACAGTTATGGTGCCTCATGCCTATAATCCCAGCACTCTGGCTGGCTGAGGCAGGAGAATTACAAGTTCCACCCAATGTGGGCAGTTTAGCAGTTTAGCAAGACCCTGTCTCAAAATAAAAAATAAAAAGGGGGCTGGGGATATAACTCAGTGGCATAAGCACTTGCCTGCCAAGCCTGGGGTCATGAGTTCAATTCCCGCTACAAAAAAATAAATAAAATAAAATAAAATAAAATAAAAAGGGCTAGGGATGTAGCTAAGCATAAAGGCCTTGAGTTCAATCCCCAGTACTGTAAAATAAATAAATATTGCAGTATCTTGTGTATAAAGCCTTTATTTAGGGTTACACTTAAATCCTGTATTTAGGTTTTTTTCTGCAAAACAGATTATCCAAACTGGTATTACAGGGTCTAAACATTAGATATTTAACATATTAAATTTTATACATTCTTAATATAAAAATGAAGAGAGGTGAAAAATGTAATACCTTAATCACTCTGAGTTTGAGCAGAGCATACGCTACACAGTGAATGTGAGACCAGCTGGGGTGCATAGTGAACTCAGAGCCAGTCTGAATTACATGGGGAGACGCTGTCTCGACACCCGCCCATTAATACCTTAATAATACTCCTAGGATTTCCTTTAGCAAAGGAGCTGTCTTTATCAGGGGGGGAAAGCCTCTTAGGGGTAGAAGGTGAGATTTTTCAGGGTATGAGCGTTAGGAGCAACCTACTACATAGTTCAGGCTGACTTTGAACTCACTAGGTAGCCAAGGCTGGCCTTGAACTTGGGCGATCCTCCTGCTTCAGCCTCCCACGTGCTGGGATTATAGGTGTGTGCCACCACGCCCAGCTAGATGTCCCTTTTCCCTGGTGGGTGAGTTCACATATCTGTGTCCCGTGACCTGTGACCCTGCCGGCGCCCCAGAGTCTCCTGAGGTCTCCTCTCTTCAGCGGGGTTTGTGTGGAAGAGGCGTGGACGTCTTCCGGAAGGGCCGGGTTTCATCTTTAGATTTCTGAACTACGCCAGCGCAGCTGCCTGGCAGAAGCAGGAACCCAGAAGCAGAGCTAGGCAGACTCTAAGTCTCCGGAAAGTCGCAGAAATCTTAGGCGTCGGTTCATTTCTACTACAGTCTCAATCTTAGGCGTTTTGGCGTCGGTTCGATTCTACTACAGACTCAAACGGCAAGCCGTTGACGTCCAAATTAAAAAATCAATGTGATTCCATTCAAAAACGGGAAATAAAAGACGCAGGAAGGAGAAAGTCAGCGTTCCATCATCCAGAAAGCTGAGGCGGTGCCGCCTGAGGAGCCGGGCCAGAGGCAGGCCGGTGGTCAAGGCAGGTGGAAGGTCACACTCCTGAGAGTCAGGATGATTTGGTTTATTTTCAGATGACAAAGCCAACTTCTTCCAATAAACTGCCTCCTGCGCTGCTCCCTATCTTTATTAGGATACATAGTAAATACATTCATCACGGGGAATTGGTACCTTCTTATAGTAGATCTTTAATTTACTCGGTACTGGGGGTTGAACTCAGGGCCTTTGCACTGAGCCCGTTTTTAATTTTTATTTTGAGACAGCGTCTAAGTCGGTAAATTGCCCAGGCCAAGTTCCAACTTGTGATGTCCTGCCTCAGCCTCCTGGAGTGCTGGAATTACAGGCACGCACCCCTCCCGCCTCCCCCCGCCCCCGCCGCCCCCTGCCAGCTACTCCTTAAGATAGGGACCGGTTGGGAAAATACGTCCTTTCCAAGGTTCTAAAGACGAGTAAAATTTTCTCACTGGAAGGATGAGGAGGTTGTACTAACCGACCTCAGCGTTTCCTTGCAGCTTTGAATTTCCTTCTCTGAGACTTGCCGGACTGGTTTGACGCGCCCTGGCGCTCCTCGGCTCCTCCCGAGCGCCGGCTTCGGCTGCTGCGCCCACATCCCACGCCAGAGGGCGCTGCAGGCGGGCCCAGGGCAGCGTGCGCGGGGCGGAGCGCTGGGATCAGAGGCGTCTCCGGGAAGCGGTAATTGGCCGCGGCGGGCGGAAGGGGGCGTGGCGAGGGGCGGGCCGGGCTGCGCGCTGGCGTCACGCTGGCGGGGGCGGGGCCCCGGAGCGTGTGACGCCGGGGAGCTGAGGATTAATGGGAAAAGTTTTGGCAGGAGCGGGCGGATTCTGCGGAGCCTGCGGGGCGGCTGCGGTGTCGCGGGGGGCG